TCCACCGCCAGGGTTCCCTATGTGTGATGATAAACACACAGCATGCAAATGCAACAGCTCCCAGCTACCGTGTGCAATTCAGGGGAGTCGGTTCTCCCATCTTTTGAGTTTCCACTCACTTTCCCCTAAGGTTCCTATCTGATTATGAGTTGCTGTGGACATTGTGACCCCCTGGAGTTGGATCTCGTGGAGTATATAATGCTCAAGGCCGACGATCTTCACTGGTTAAGCTGGGCTGCTGTTTAGTTTTGAAGAAGAAGGCAGGGGAGATTTGCGGTGCTAAGTTTCCAAGATGATCTCAAGGCAATAGCTTCAGGGTTTCATCCAGACTCTATGGATCCAGAAAGTCTGGATTCCATCAGGATTTGCCATTCTGTTCTGCTTGCCTCCTTTGCCCTGACGTCTCTTAAGGAGCTCCTGGTGCTCATCGCTTGGGTCTCATGCCGTTACCTCGCCCAAGCCCAATGCCCTGGCAGCCTCTGTGTGCCAGTAGAACTGGGGGTTTTCACAAGTCCCCAGTCTGAAGTCCGGGGACCAGGCACATGCCAGACTGGAGGATGTTCAGATTCTAGAACGATGCTGCAGGTGTCACTTGCTTTGCAGACGCTCGAGTGGAGCCTGGAACCCGCTCCCTGTGGTGGCACACTGCATGCCGCCGGCGTTAACACACACGAGTGAACCTTGTGGAGGGAGAGCGGACATTAAGTTGGCTGAGAAAAAGATGTCAGCCACCCTGGGTTTTGCTGCCAGATGAGTGGGTGGTAGGCACTGGAACAGATCTTTAACCGGAGAAGTTTCTGGATTGTGGGATGTTTGGGAAGGTACATTGGCCATGGCTTGTTTAAATAGACCTCCATTGCAGGACGGGTCGTTCCTGTCACGTGGCAGCACAGCGATGCCCACCTTTGTGCACAGCAGGGTCCATCTCCTGAGGTGGGGCTTTACGCCTGGTGCTGGCCGGGTTTGGGGGTCAGGCAGGTACAAGAGTAGGGGCCCTGGCATTTTGGATGTTCCTTCAGGGTGCTAGGTGGACAGGTTGGGGCAGGGCTAAGCCCGAGTCGGCCTCAGTGGGTTTGGAAATGGGAGTCGTCAGAGTGACCCGACTGGGAGGTGGGGCCTATCACTTACATTCCCTTTTGCCCTCCCCAGGTTCAGACATTATCATGCAGCTAGACGACGTGGTCAGCAGCACTGTGACCGGGCCACGGGTGGAAGAAGCCATGCACAGGTGTGTGTGCGCTTGTGCGTTTATGCGTGCGCGCATGTGTCAGGGCAGGGGTCCCCTCAGTCTCGCAGCCCCATCTCCCTTGCCTCACCAGGCCCCCGGGGACCCTCTTGCAGGTCAGTCCGATGGCTGGACCGGTGCATTGCGGCCCACCGGCAGCCGGACAAGCAGAACCTCTTTGCCATCATTCAGGGCGGACTGGACTCGGATCTCCGGGCTACCTGCCTCGAAGGTAGAGCCAAGTGCGGGCAGGACCAGGGCGTGTCCTTCACCGGGACCTACTCCGGTCCTGCTCAGGCAGTGGCAGGCAGCGGGCGGAAGGGCATTCCAGGTGGAGGAGGCAGCCGGCATCAAGGCCCTGGGGCAGCAGGACATAGGCGTTGGTAGAGTCCTTCTGGAGTCATCATATCATGTAGGGAGGGACAGAGTGCCAGCTCCTGAGTTTACAGCTGGGGAAACTGAGGGTGCAGAGCTGCCACAGGGAGCCAGGCCTTCAGGCTCCGGAAGCTGCAGCATTAAGTATTCCGTTGGACACCCAGGGAGGGTCAGGATGGAGGGGTCGGGCCCTGACCCCCCGGAGCTGTGGGGGCGGCTGGGCAGGAGAGTGGAGGGCAGCCAAGGAGTTGCAGGGAGGCCACCACCGTGCTCTCATGGGCGGGCGGGTTGAGGGGTGTGGGCGATGCCCGGGCCCTGGCCCGGGTCTCCGTGCCGGGCATGGGCACTCACGCCTGGCCACCTCAGAGCTCGAGCGGAGTTCCACGCCTCCCCACTGCACGGGGGAGGAAAGCACACTGGTCCCACGAGGGCACGGCCACCCTGCAAATCATCAGGCCCAGATTCGAAGCCAGAGACCGCCGATTCCAATGCCCGTGTTCTTGGCAGACAGGGACCTTGGAGGTTGAAATCGTTGCCCAGGACAACAAGGAGGCTCGCAGCCCGGCCGGGGCCTGGAAGATAGGGCGAGGCCCAGATGGGGACCTTGGGCCATGAGGCCTTGTCGCCAAAACTCTGGACCCTAGAGTCTCTGAGGGGCCATCCCAACCCCGATCTGCTTCATGGCTACAGGGCCTTGGCCCAGCGGCTCAGCCTCTCTGAGCTCCACTTCCTTTCTCTCTGGAGTGGCAGAAGACATCCCAGGGCTTGGGGTCCCTCTAGACCAGTCACCAAAGTCACTGCCACCGAGTCGAGGCTGGCACAGAGTGGCTGCAGGACAGGGCACCACTGCCCTTGTGGGTTTCGGAGATGGTACCACTTCACCGGGGTCGAAAGCCGCTTCCACCGAGTCGAGGCTGGCGCAGAGTGGCTGCAGGACAGGGCACCACTGCCCTTGGGGGTTCCGGAGATGGTACCACTTCACCGGGGTCGAAAGCCGCTTTCTCCAGCAGAGCTGCTGGTGGCTTTGAACTGCTGACCCTGCAAGTGGGCAGCCCCACATGGAGCCATGATGCCACCGGGGCTCCTCTTGCGATCACAGGATGAAATGGGGGTGATAAGAGATTGTCCTTGTAACCTCTCTGTCCTCAAGCCCTCCCCACCCCACCCCTCACCCTACCTGGGTCTAGTACCTTTCAGTCTTGGACCTGAGACCCACATGTTAAAGCAGTGGTTCTCAGCCTTCCTATTGTGGTGGTGACCCCCCAACCAGAACATTATTTTCGTTGCTACTTCATCACAGTCATTTTGCTACTCTTATGAATCGGGCGACCCTTGTAAAACGGTCATTCGACCCCCAAAGGGGTCGCGACCCATGGGTTGAGAACCGCTGTGTTAATGGACCTGCAGCTGGACGTGCACTTGGGAAACAAAGCGTGGGGCACAGGGCTGGTTTTCCTTCGCCCCTACCATGCTGGCTGATGTGTTTTTGCTGGCTCTTCTTTTGCAAATCGTCCTGCTCAGCCAGCTTCATCCCTCCAGCACCACCTCACGGTGTTGGGAGACAGGGCGCCTGTAAAATGCAGCCCCTGGATGCTCCCCTGGGACCTGATTTCAGCAAGAGTTGGCGCAGGCGTGCACTCGCTGCAGAACCGGGCCCCAGGCAGCACCTGCGTGATGGTTGTGGCGCTTCCCCTCCACCTGGGACCAGACCAACCTGGGCGTGGAGCCCAGCCCAGGTTCGAATCCAGTTGCTGGCGTGTGTGGCACCAGCTCTGCCCACCTCTGTTTCCTCGTCTGCCAAAGCCGGCCGAGTCCGACGCCTGAAAGGCTCCGACATCTGGAGCCGGCCAGACCGGCCACCTGTTGTGGCAGAAAGTCACAGCGTGCAGTGCAGGTGGCCCCTCTGCACGTGGGCTGCTCACTCGCTTCTTGAGGGACAGGCTGTCCCGGCAGGGTCAGCGAGGGATGGGAGGGGCTTTCCCTGTGCTTGGCTGCCCCTCACCCTGCCCTGTGTCCCCAGAGATGACCAAGAGGAACGTGCCAGGCTTTGCTATCGGGGGCCTGAGCGGGGGTGAGAGTAAGAACCAGTTCTGGAAGATGGTGGCACTGAGCACCTCCAAGCTGCCTAAGGACAAGCCCAGATACCTGATGGGGGTTGGGTAGGTGGAGGAGGGGAGGCGGGCCCTACCTGTGGGAGTGGGGGGGTGGGGGCGCTGCCAGGGCTAGGCGGGGGACTAAAGAGCATATGGCTCTTTTCCCTGGCTGTGTTCTTGGGATTTGGCCTGAGTCTTGGTAGTGGGGAGGGAGCCTGAAGGGTGGGGTGGGGAGGAGCTCCAGGTTGGAAGGTTCACATTTCCCCTCCCCCCTCCAACCCCAGTTATGCCACTGATCTGGTGGTCTGCGTGGCTCTTGGCTGTGACATGTTCGACTGCGTCTTCCCCACGAGGACAGCGGTGAGGCCCTGGGCAGGGGGCAGGCAAGGGCGGAGCTGGGGGTGGGGGTAGGCAGGCTGGGGGGCCGGGAGGGTGCCAACCTGGGTGACCCTCCCCTCCCCACCCCCCAGCGCTTTGGCTCGGCCCTGGTGCCCACCGGGAACCTGCAGCTGCGGAAGAAGCAATATGCAAAGGATTTTGGGGTCATCGATCCACAGTGCACCTGTCCCACCTGCCAGAAGTAGGCCGTGAAGTCTGAGGGATGGGGGTGGGGTCGGGGCTTGGACCCAGCTGTGCTGACCTTTACCCGCCACACCCCCTGGCTGCAGGCACAATCGGGCCTTCCTGCACGCCCTGCTCCACAGTGACAACACGGCAGCCCTGCACCACCTCACTGTCCACAACATCGCCTACCAGGTGGGACCGGGGCTGGGGGCGCACGGGAGCGGGGTGGCGTCTGGGCTCCTGGATCCACTGAGGCCAATGGCGTCCCGTCCCTGCAGCTGCAGCTCATGAGCGCTGTGCGCGCCAGCATCGTGGAGAAGCGCTTCCCCGCCTTCGTGCGCGACTTCATGCGCACCATGTACGGGGACGCCACCCTCTACCCGACCTGGGCCACCGAAGCCCTGGCCTCCGTGGGGATTGAGCTGGACTGACCCGGCCTGTGGGAGGGTGGGCTGGAAGGGATTAAAGGTTGGAATTTATTTTTTTATTTTTTGGAATTTTAAAATTATTATTATCCTACCTTCTCGTGCCTCTGTGTCTTCTTGGGGATCTCTTTTCCTGGTCTGAGCGTCCATGTGATGGGTCCCCCACCCCCATTGATGACGAGGAACCGCTGTGGCTCATCCCTGCCTGTAGGGTGTGCCCCAGCCCCCCTAGTCATGCTGGAGGTGTAAACCCTTGTCCTCCCTCTCTGGACAGCTGAGCCACCCGAGGCCCTGGAAAAGGGACTAGGTTGCCCAGGAATCCCCTTTGGGTGAGTGGCAGAGTCAGGGCTTGAACTTGGGGAGCTTAGGCTCTTAACCCCGATTTTGCTGCCCCCAGAACAGCACACCCATTCGTTGCATCTGAGTCACCCCCAGGCTATGGTGACCCCCACATGACGAGTCAAGCTGCCCCCTCAGCGGAACCTGGCGGTACTCTGTCCGGAAACACCCCGCTAGTTCTTCTTTGCCACAGGGACTGTTGGCACCACCCCCCTTTCCAAACTAAGGCTAGGTTACTTGAGTCACTTGCAACCCACAGTGCCCCTGCAACATTGGCTTAGTGACAAACAACGGAACAACAACCCAAACTGGCTGTGTAGAGTGGATCCCGACTCACAGTGACCCGGCAGCACATACGCACGGTAGTCCTGCCCCGTGGGGTTTCTAAAGCTGAGGTCTTCACGGAGCCGGCCTGCCCCACCCTTCTCCCCAGGGAGCTGCTGACCTTTCACTTGGCAGCTGGGCCCTTAACCACTGCACCACCAGCACGCCTTTTAAAATCTCATGGCCATGGAGTTGGCTCTGACTTCTCCAAAAAAGCAAGTTCCCTGGCATCCATCAAGTCCAGGCTGACTCTCAGTGACCCTAACAGGACAGGGTAGAACTGTTTCAGAGACTGTCACGCTATAGGCGTAGAAAGCCTCGTCTTTCTCCCGAGGCAGGTGCTTCCGAACTATTCACCTGCTGGTTAGCCCAGCACGTAACCACTGCGGCGCCAGGCCCGTTGTTGTTCCATGCCACCTAGTTGCCGTCGACTCTGCTCATAACAACAAAACACCTCCCAGTCCTGCGCCATCCTCACAGCTGCCCTTACGGCAGGGCCCACTGTCAGCCCCGTGTCAATGGATCTCGGCAGGGACCTGCCTTTTTCACTGACCCGCCCCTTGAGGGAGCCTGATGCCCTCCAGGGAAGGGTTGTCTCATCACGTGCTCAAAGTACACGAGCCTCGCCGTTCTTGCCCCTAAGGAACATTTTGGCTGCACCTCAGTATTCCTCAACAGCACCCCAATTCACATGCATCGATTTGCCTTCCTTCTCCAATGTCCAACTTCCACAGCATATGAGACCATTGAAAATACTATGCCTAGGGTCAGGTGCACCAAAGTACCGTAACCCTTGCTTTCCAGTGCTGTAGAGAGGGCTCCCTAGCCACCCAGTGACGGCTCTGACTGCCTACATTTGGGAAAATCTCTTCCAGTCAAGGCAGTGCTGATAAGGTGGTATATCCTGAGCTTACACTGGTGCTCTTCTCAGCGCTGGTCATGTGCAAGTAATCCTTGCAAATTTACAATGCACCGTGAGTTCCTTTCTCCATTTTCCAGAAGAGGAAATGAGGGTTCCGAGCAGTGAAGTCACGTGGTCATGGCAAAGCACCACGGCAAAGTCACGGTTCAGCAAGGAAAGAGGCCGAAGACTAACCCAGGGATTGCCAATAATAAATAGGTGTTCTTAGAGAATAAGGTTCTGTTACTGAAAAAAACTAAGGCGTACAGTGATCAACACTCCAAGCTGTGCAAAACGGGAAACTTGTTTAATGAATTACTTAATTAATTTTTAGTTTGTGTATTCCTCTCAGAATCTTTCAGGTATACATCTTGCCTCATCAGTGTTACTTCCTTTAACCTGCATTTCTGCACCTTGCTCTTTTCTCCTTTCTCCGGTAGTGTAAGAAAGCCAGTTGTAAGGGGCCGTGAGTCCCTTCCAATCGATCATGACCTTTTCACACAACAAAATGAAATGCTGCCCGCTGCTGGGCCGTCCTCATCGGTGCCCCTGTGCTTGAACCCGTGGTTGAAGCCCGTGTGAATCCAGCTGGCCGAGTTCCTTTTTTTCGCTGCCCCTCTCGTTTACCAAGCACGATGTCCCTCTCCAGGGACTGGTCTCTCCTGACCACATGTCCACAAAGTACGGAAGATGAAGACTCGCGCCGCCCCTGCCTCGAAGGAGCACCCTGGCCGTTCTTCTGAGAGATCCGTTTGTCCTTTTATCCGGCCATGGTATTCCTAGTGTTGCTCTCCGGCACCACCGTTCAACCAAACCTGCATACACGTCAGTACATGGAGAATTCCCTCATTCTGGGCCTGCTCTGGCAAATGGTGCTCACGGCACTAGCCCCTGTGAACGGACAGGGGGTTAACAGGTTCCTTCCATGCTGGGCAAGGTTGCCAGCCTCGCTGACCCTTTTTTGTACACCTTTCTGAGCGCTGGGATTTTAGGTCCTTCCAGTGCTCCGTCTTCTCACTGGTCCGCCCTGTTCTCTGGTCATCTGTGTCCAGTGGGGTCAAACATTTCCGGCATCTATTCCAAGAGATCAAGAATGCCAGCTCCCAGACGCCCCGGACTTTGCACGGAAAGTAGCTTGTCTTCCCAGGGACACGGTCTGCTGCGTTTCCCTGGGTTTCTAAACGCTCCACGCACGGTGCACGGATGTTGAAGGATTAACCGCACTGACGCGGGAAATATTCCACTGAGAGGAAAATATTCCTAGAGAAGGGCACCGTGTTTGCAAAAAGCACGGAGGCTGGTCTTGTAGGAATGGACCTCTTGCTAAGGAATTCTAACTTTGGAACTGCGTTGAGATCCGCGCCAGGAGCGGGCTTGCCTTCTCCCGGCAGCCGAGCTGCATTCTGGGTCTTGTAGTTTTCTGCAGAGCCCTGCATTTCCGCAGTGACGATAACCACCAGGTCCCCCCACTAGGAGGCGCTCCACAGCGATTTGCGACTCCTACCCCAACCAACCAGCTGTCCGACGATCGCGAGGAAGAACGAGTTGGTTTGATTGACAGACAAGGTTCTCTATCAGAAGCGGAATGCGGACGTTAAAGCCCGCCCTCTTCTGATTTTATTGGCCGACGGGACAGAATGATATTTATATAAACCAATGGGGAATTTTGACGGAACTAGGTTAGATTGCAAGAAGTGACAAACCAGTGTTTCGATCCCTTGCATTATTGGTAACTTTGTCGACCGGCGGGTCTTCCAGTCAATAAGATGGTGGAATGGCCTTCCCTCATCGGCCCCCTCCAATAGGCGGAGCCAACGTGCCTTTTCCTGAAACACCGCCTCCCGGCCTTGACAACTTGGTTCGCGCTGCTATTGGTCCTTGCACGACAACGACAGTTCTTGCGTCCAATCAGTCCCACGAGAAGCTCCCCCGGGGGCAGGCTTATTCAGCTGTAAACTCGTGCCTCACTGCCATTGGCTGGTGCTCCCGAGTAGCAGCCACGTCGGCCAATGAAGGCTGGCGCGACGGCTTTGAGCGCAGCCCGGGGCCCGGGCGGGAGGTCGCTTGGGTCGGGTGTTGCCTGAGAACCGGATGAGGCGACGGTGAGGCCGAGCCGGGAGCGTCGCGCCAAGGCCCGGGCGGGCGGGGAGCAACGGCCGCGGACGCCGCGGGGCCGCGTCGTTGAGTCGAGGGCGGGCAGGGAGCGCAGGGCGCTCGGGCCGGGGCGGCCGGCGCCATGGGCAACCGCGGGATGGAAGAACTGATCCTGCTGATCAACAAGCTGCAGGACGCCTTCAGCTCCATCGGCCAGAACTGCCACCTGGACCTGCCGCAGATCGCCGTGGTGGGCGGCCAGAGCGCCGGCAAGAGCTCGGTGCTCGAGAACTTCGTGGGCCGGTGAGCTGGTGCCGCGGGGACGGCGGGCGGGCGGCGGCCTAGGGCGCCAGGGCGGTCCGGGAATGGCGCGCCCTGCGCTGCCGGCGTAGCTGCGGCGCTTGCGTGCCCGCGACCCGGACGGGGACCGGGAGGCGGGCTCTGTGGGGCCCTTTTGGTTGTAGGGCTCGCTGCTGGCGGTGGGGAGCCGGCAGAGACCCCAGGAGCGCTTCTGCAGGCTCGGAGGTCCGGTGGAGCAGGAGGTCCGGCGGACCCCCACTGTCCACTTGCTTCACTGCCGCCGTGGGTAAACTCTGCCATCTGGTTGACATTGAGTGAGGGGAGTCTCAGTTCGGTCTACCTGCCTGTCCGTCTGCCAGCGGTGAACCCACCACCTCGATATCTATCGGGGCAACCCCTGCAGTCTGGCTGGCTGACCATTCATCTATCTGGGGCAGCCCGCTCGGGCTGTCTGGCTGGCTGTCCCTAGGTTGGACAGACCTCCCTACCACCATTTGGTTATCCACCTGTTCAGCCCTACGGGCAGCTCCCTGCTGGCAGGCTAGCTGTCTAGCGTGACCCCTGCTTTCCATGCCTACCACAGCCATCTGCACTGACTGCCCCTCTATCCCGTCCTTCTGTCCGGGGAACCTCAGCTGCCTTCCAGACTGGTTGGCTGGCTGGACCCACAAAGGACCTTGTGACCCTGCTGTTTTGGGCTGACACTTGACTTGGGTTCTTGGTGAACGCTGGCTCCACTTCTAAGAAGACCCCTCGGTCTGTCCTGTCCTGGTGGACCCGTTGTGTCTGGCCATCCCCTTGTCCGCCACGGCCTCAGACTTCCTAGCTTTTTTCCATCTGTCTGGCCTAACTCCTCATCCATGAGATGGGGGTGGAGAGGAATAGATGAGGCTTGGATCCCGGGTACTTTCTCCAGGATATGTTCCTGGCTCCCAGGATGCTCTGGGGCCTGGGGAGGAGGGCCAACCAGCCTCCAAGCTAAAGCCTGCAAACAGGCTGTCCCATGGAACTTGTGAGGGAGGGGGCTCTGGCCTCATCCGGCACCGGTGGCAAGAGCTGAGAGCCAGTCTCTCCCGGGTCGCCCTGGATAAGCCTGTGTGCCTACCTGCCCAGTGGGCCAATTCCCCCCTTTCGGCTCTTTCCAAGGAGCCCCTGTGGCCTAGTGGGTTACACGTTGGGTTGCCAACCACACGTCAGCAGTTCCGAACCTGCCGCCTGCCCCAAGAGGGAAGGATGAGACTCTCCTCCCGTAATGATTGACAGCCTCAGAAGCCCCAAGGAGCAGTTCCCCTCTGCCCTCCAGGCTGGCTGTGAGTCAGATGGCAGTGAGAGAGAGGCCCTTTCCAGGATTCAGGAAGCCAGGGCAGCTGTGGATTCTCCTCTCTCCCTCCCCCACGTCCTGCTCTTCCTCCTCCTAGTCATTCACTTCTCCATTCTGGAAGGGACCAGGGCTGTGTGGCTGCCAATGGCAGCATCAGGTGTCCTTATCAGTATTATTGTGCTTATCAGTATTAGGGGAAGGCCTGTGGCTGGTCTGCTTGGTTTTGTTATCATCCAGCCTTTGGGATGAGCAGGGAGGGGCCCAAAGGACTTGCGGCTTGCCCAAGGCCCAAGGCCACCTGCCTTCAACAGGGTAGTGTGCCTGGTGGCTTGCATTTCCTCCCGTGCTGCCGCGCCCCTGGCGCGCCTCACCCACTGCCCAGCGAGTGGGTTTGGGAGCAGCCAGGCCGGATGGCGGGCCTCTCTGCCAGTGGTGGCGATCCAAGATGCTCTCAACCCATTCTGTTTCCTTTGCGACCTGGTGCCGATTGTGTGTGACCTTTCTGGGGCCTCGGTTTCCCCCTGCTCAAAACGAGATTGGGGTGGGTGGGAGGGGGGGGTGTCTCTGTCCCTCCTCAGGCTGTGGCAAGGACGCAATGATGATTTGGCTTGTCGCAAGGGCGGTTTATCCCTAGGCTGGTCCCGCCCAGGACAGCAGCCACAGCTAAGGAGCTCTGCGTGCGTGCTTTGTGGTTCCAGGCCAGGCAGCCTCGCTCCTCGCTCGCTGGCTCCTAGCTTGTTTGACAGCAGCACTTCGAGTCCCAGAGCCTCTTGCTGGAGGCTCCCACCTGGACACCCGGGTCCCATTTCCTACCTCTCCTGCCTGTGACCACTCCTGCCTCCCAGAACCCTATGGCGTAGACCAGGGGTCCTCAAACTCTTAAACAGGGCCAGTTCACTGTCCCTCAGACCCATTGGAGGGCCGGACTATAGTTTTAAAAAAAAACTGTGAACAAATTCGTATGCACACAGCAAATATCTTATTTTGAAGTAAAAAACAAAACGGGTAAAAACACTCGGCGAGCCAGATAAATGTCCTTGGCGGGCCGCAGGTAGCCCGTAGGCCATAGTTTGAGGATGCTTGGCATAGACATTGGTGTCTACGGGTTAATTCAGTGCCCTGGAAACTCATGCCGTCAACAGACCTTTTTCGGGGTGTGGGGTGGGGCCCTCAGCGAGCTGGATTGGCACAGTGGTTGCAGCAGTGGGATCCGGCAGGGGGGACCACTGTGTGGGTGGTGCAGAATCGCGCAGTGTCTTGCCCTGTTATGCCCTGGGTTGGACTTGGCGCAGTGGCACCTGACAACAACAACAGCCAGGCTGGGCTGCTTCACGGCTCTCCTGTGGCCGTGGCGCTGGGCACAGGACGCAGAGGGTTCTTCGTGTAAGTTTCGCCCGGCTCTTCCGCTCAGTGCACGCCGTCAATGACTGCCCGACTGGTTTCAGGGACCAAGCGAGAGAGCATGGTAGGACCAGAGGTCACTATCCAGGTCCTGGGTCTGTGGGTCCTTGACGCTCCTTTGTGACCTAGCTGGCTCAGGGGTCCCAGGAGTCGAGGGGCTAGCCGGATGGGCCTTTTGTTTACAAAGTTCTGTTTTTAATTAGCTGCCAAGATCTAAAGCTCAGATTTCATCTCCAAACCCTGGACAGAAGGCAGCATTGCTCGAGAGTGGCCGGCAGCGCTCCCGGTGGGCTCAGGAGTGTTAGGTGCTGGCCGGGCTCCAAGGCCCTGCCCCCATCGCCCTTGGCTCTGTAATGTTGGCAAGGGGTCTTGGACTTTTGGGGGCCTTGGGTTCATTTTCTGTAAAGTTGGCCCTTCCGAAGGACCCAGCAAGGGGTAGTATGTGTGGAGGGAAGGGCCGTGGTCAGGCGGCTGGGGTGACCACTGTCGCTCATTGGCCAGACTGAGCCTGCATCCCACTGGGCACCACTTGCCAGGATCTCTGGGGGAGCCGCCTGAACTGCCACAGTTCCTGCCTCTCTGTGTGCTCAGCTCACCCAGCCTGGAGCCGCCCGGCCCCCGGACCCTTTGAGACCTTTGACCTTTCTGCCTGGCACCCACTGACAGGGCTGTGACTTTAAGGTGAAGGGAGGTGCTCTTTCCCTTGACCACTCCTGGCATATAGCCCCTGGAGCTGGGACGGGGCAGGAGGCAGGGGAACCCACAGACCTGGGCAGTCTATCTTGCCGAGTCTCAGCTTCCCGGCTGGGACGTTAGGACGTGGGGCTGCTTGCAGCATCTCTTAATGGGCCGCAGGCAGTCCGGGTGCCCATCCCTTAATGTCGACCACCCCCTCTGTGAAACAGGACATGGTGTAGATAGCATGGTACAGGTGGTAGCCCCACTGTGGCCCCGTGACCTCTGGCTAGCTTATTCTAGTAAATCCTTAAGGGAGCCCGCTGGACCTGCCCGGTGTGCACTAGGCTGGGTCGGGCTTTGCCAGGATTTTGTGAATGACTGGGGTGCCGGAACCTGTGTGTAGTGGGGGCTAGCTGGGTGGTAGAGGGTGAGGGAGGAAGTAGGGGTGGGTAGGAGTGGCCGCAGGTGACTGCGCAGGGAGCAGGTTGCAGGTGCTCCGGGTGAGGGTGTGGGTGTGGGTCCTGGCTGCGTGGCCCTGCTGTTATCTCATAGTGCGTAGCCGCTATCAGCTCCACCTGGAGCTGGAGCCCGAGCCCGGCAGCACCTCTGGCCTGCAGCAGACACTGTCTTTTGCTGGGCATGAGGCAGCTGGGAAAGAGAAGGAGCCAGGAGTGGGGGTACAGAGGTACTTCCGGGAGCTTTGAAACCATCCGGGAGAAATAATAAACAGAGAGGAAGCTACATTCCCGTTTTAAAAGAGCAACATAGAAACCTTTTGGGGGACTGTGCATGTACACTGGGCAGGGTGCTAAAGGACGCACCTTTGTGGCCAGGGCCCCAAGGCCGGAGTGACCATGGGGCTGGCCCTGGGAAAGCCAAGCGAGGATCAGGGGAGACTGCATTGGAGAGCTGGGGCCCCGAGCCATCAGATCCATGGGTGTGTGTCAGGCCAGCTGTGCTCCACAGCCTTTGCAATGGCTGAGGGCTCTTCTGAAGTAGACTACCAGGCTTCTCTTCCGCGGTGCCCCTGGGGGCCCTGGCACACCAGCCCTCTTTCACAGATGACACTCTGGTTAATCCCTTCCCTCCCCCACATCATACAGAGAATAAACCGCAAGCCCCCAAAGCCAGGCCCCCTTGGTCAAGGACATGCAGCCCAGATTGCATGGCGCCGCAGGACTCGGGCCACACAGGACACCACGAAACCTGCGCTCACTGCCACGAGTGGAGGCGGGCTCCCTGCAGGGCAGAGTAGCATGCCCCGTAGGGTTTCCAGGAGTTCACACTGCCAGCGTTTCGGTGGCTGCCCGATGCTTAACTTCCTGCACCATTACCGCTCCTTAGTTGTCTCCCAGCCTGGCTGATGTCCGAACTTGGACGTGAAGCGGAATTTGTAGCGATTGAGAGCCGATGAAAAAGCAAGATTCTGTAAGCATTACCACTGTTGCCCCCTCCCCCAACTCTGCTGGCCCTGCTAGGTCTAGTTTCTATATCTGTTGACTGAAGAACGGAGGGTGGACGCTTGTGGCCTGTGGTGTGTCCTGCCCAGTGGCCACAGGTGCCCTGTGAGGAGCTGGTGAAGCTGTCGATCCGGATTCAGTCC